TTTACTTTGTATTATCTTGTTATTGTTTTCTTGCACTTGTTGTATATATATCTGTACAGGTTAATTGTGGTAGGTACTGTCTAGCCTCGTCACTACTTCGTCGGGGTTAGGCCAGGCACTTACCAGCACATGGGGTCGGTTGTGCTGATGCTACACTCTGTGCATTTTTGGTGCACAGATCAGGGAGCAGCTTACGGACCACAGCAGTAGGACTTCTGGGAGCTATCTTCAGTCTAAGGACTCTCGAGGTAGCCTAGATGGCATTCGCAGGCCGAAGTCCCTTTCCATGTTTTTTTGTTTGTTTATCTTGTATCAGACAAACATGATGTATTTTCCCTTCAGACATTGATTGTAGTATTCTGTAGTAGTCCGTGAGCTAGTGACACCAGACTCTAGGTAGCATTTTGGTTCAAACTTCCGCACTTTTGGTTTTCAGTTGCTTTAGATTTAAAGTCTTCCGCTTAGATTTTGTCTCGTTTATTATATTGTTTGAAAGAAAGCAGGAAAGGTGTTTTAAATATTTGGCTTGCCTAGCTCTGATAGTAGGCACCATCAGGACACCCGATTGTGGGAAATCCGGGTCGTGACAGCATTTCTCGTGTAACGTACGAACGTAGACACTAGTTTATACAAACGGCAAAATAAATTGTTTACCCTTAAAACGGTACAGTTGAATTTATACGTGCTTTATAAACAAGTGAATCGGTTTGATCTCAAAATAATAAATAAATTAGACAAAAGCCTAAGACTTAGCGTTGAAATTGAGATAATATAGTAGCAATCTTGACTCCGGGGGCAGAGCTTTCGGAGGGAGTAATAACAGTATTAATAAGTGAGAAGACAAAATGTAATTAACCTTTTGAACAGAGTATAGTATTAGTTTGTCAGAAAATTCGTGTCCTTTACAATAACTGTAGAGCTCACTATTTATAGTTGCACCTAAGGAACAAGGTTATAGGATCAAACCTCTCTTAAATGATAATTATGAGGGCCATTGAAGAGTATGTAACGGTGGGCAGTGAATGCCATATTCTCTGTAACGGATTGTGCACTTAATGTTATAGAATATTCTCCATTAAATGCTACTGGGTGGCAGGTATTTAATTCGCCTTTATGGATACCATTCTCTTTGAGACCGCTGCCTTCGGACCCGACTGTCTTCTATCTTCGGCACCACGTGTTGCTTCCTTATGCGATCATTTTATATGAACATATTTTATCCTATACGAATAGTCCCCCTGCTTTTCGGTGGTATAAACTTATGTCACCGGGAAGTTGGTAAAGATACCATTTTTTGGCAGGAAATCCTCTGATCCCCTCTGAAAAGTTTCTGACAGTTGATTAGATACATGTCTCTCCACATATAATGCCTCGAACACGCGTCATCCTACGGTTCGCACTTTTGCCAGTTATCGAGGTAATTATAGACACGATCTTAGCCGCATATTCCTTTACTTATATGCATCAAACTTCTCCCTTTATACTTCATAACTTTCCAAACTCTCTCGAACTCTCTTTGCTCAACTCATACTTGCCTTCAACTTTCTCTAATCTTCTTCTATAGAAAAAGCCTTTTCTCCCTAATAACATTGGCCTCTTCTTCCAGAAGCCCAGTTCTGCAAAGAATAAAGGTAAAGCTGATGATGCAGCTCCTTCTATGGTAAGTGTCGACGTTCCCTTTTTCTATGGGTCGAAATCGGGTATACGACATTGGGAGGACAACTCTATTCCCTTTCGAGAATTGGGTTTTGGAATTGCAGAGTCGCCACCTAATGATTATAGTGCATTAGGACACTTTGAGAAGGGATTGAGTTGGAAAACCAGAGTTCGGGTAAGGGCTAGAAATTATCTCGAGGGGAAGGTGTTAGGCACCCCTTAAGATCCACTAGTGTGGTCCCGGCCATGTTACAATTGTGACTTTACAAGTAAACAATCAAGGCTCAAATAAGGACTTGCATACAACATTGCAATTAGGTTGAAAACTTTTGAAGGTAAGTAGAGAGGACAGAAATTTATGAAAAGAAGATTTGAATGGTTTCACGAGAAGAGATGAAAGCAAATAGGGGGAGGGGGATCCTAGTTTTACGATTAATATGGATCACTTCAATGCGATACCCAGCAATCACTCCTCAAAAAAGAGGGGTCGCACGTGATATTAGCGCATCGGTCATCATCTCCATATCTACCCTTCCCACCCC